CATATTTATATACATCTGAGTGCCGTTTTTGACCACCTTAACAGTTGCCCTTTAGATAAAACGTCCGAAACTAAGCAAAGAGTAGCACTGAGATTACCCAGTGATGCCAACGCGGCACGAAATTTCCGTACAAATTCCGATTTCACTTGGCAATCGATGAAGATATCGTCTTTTCCGTCGGGAACTGTGCTACAAAGTAAAAGCCTTCTCTAAAGTATAAATTACAATTCAAAAAAAATATGGCCGGAAATCGTATTGGCAGCGAGGTGATAAATCATATTAAGCCCCTCCTTAGGTACGCTTTTCATTGCTTCTGATATGCCGGCGCATATGCGACCTATCCGTTTTCAAATTGTTTGTTGTTGCTTTTAATTTCGAGAGCTTTCTGGCAAGCTAGGGACCTCTGATTAGCAATTAATCTAATGTCTGGGTTGTACATTAGAGTGGTCCAAAAAAGATCTTTCCTTCCAAAATTTTTTCTTTTGCCGAAAGACGTGCTGGTACTAAACCTTACGTTTCTAAGTATAAATTTAGAATATGTTCATATGATGTTCATATTTTACTCTTAAAGTATTGTGTACATATATTAATCAAACATTTGGCTAAGTAAACTACGATCAATTCCAATTTAAATTATCTAAAAAAATATCACAAGCTTCAGTTGTCATGGCAACAGTACCTTTTTATAAAAATCACCAATATTTTTGCCAGTTTCACAGGGATGAAGTAGCGCATTTCAAGAGCATTGAGCATCCTGTATTAGTTGCAGTAGAAAACTGAAAGTAGGTATAGATATCACAAATATTAAAGGGAAAAACTTTTCTAGGATACAAATTTTTTCCCCATCCAAAAATTGGACTACTTTTGTATACATATATGTATACCGGTAGTGATATACAGCGTCAGTTCCATGTTTTGCAAAATTCCTCTTTGCAGTTGTAGTGAGCTATGATCCCCTTCTTAACTCTTTCATCCACATTCCTTTTTCAATTTATTTTTGAGTCCAGAATGCTATCAAAGTATTTCGATTTGAAGGTGGGATTAAAAGTAGTTCCTTCTATTACAGCCAGAGAGAAAGCGAAAGTCTTTTTTTTCTTGTGTTCAAGACCAGTTTTGTTTTCGGAGGGTTGACCCAAAACCGTCCTCGTTGATCCACTTAGAGATGTCGCCTACACATATGTCTTTTCAGAAATGTCATTATTAAGTAAATCTTGCTGATAGGCCTGAAGATTCTTGGTGCAGTATATTCATCATCGAAAAACCTACGAGTGAAAGCGACATCAACTAGCTGCCATGATTGGGGTAACTCAGTTCAAGAGACGAAGTGGAATTTGTTTTTTCAAGGTCATCAACAGAGCAGAAAGGCGTCGCCGATAGGTCAAAAGACGTAGACGTATCATACGATATAAAGTGCATTCAAAACTTTAGTTTGAAAATGTCAACAGAAAGTTTGCGAGATAGGGAATCTTTTAATACCAGATAAGAACCTGTAGGAAACGGAACCTACTGTTGTTGACAGATGTGCAGAATACCCTTGAATTATTGATAGAACACTTATTCAGCAGAGAAAATGGTGGATACACTCAAACGATGATGGTGGATTTAGTATTCTTTTTCTAGTAATAATATTAAGGCAAAAGCCGGTGAAAACTCGTACCAAATGAAATTTCAGAAGAAAGGCGACTGTTTAAGAGTATAATATCATTTCTTTAATCTGATTTCAGAGGAGACAATGCAAAATGCAGAATCAGCTACAAGTTGTTATCTTTTTCTTCTTTGGCTCTGTAACCGCCCAAGCGATTTTGGCCGAGCTCAACAAAGCACGCCACTCGCTCCCCTTCTGTGCCAGCTGGCGACAATTGGAGATGCCAATTGAAGCCATGTGCTTTTCCACTTGATATTTCCATCGCAGTGGATGCCTCCCTCTTCCTCTGCTACCACCAGCGGGTTTCGAGTTGAATACTTTAAGAGCTGGAGCGTCGGGTCCATTCGAACGAAATGACCAAGCGAGCGGAGCCGCCTTATTTAAATACGTTGAATTATGTCCATATCGTTGTGTGTGTGTGCCGCCGCCAACGCATAAAGGCCCGTAAATTTTCGGCAAAAGCTTTCTGTCGAATATTCCAAGAGCCGCCTCATCGGTTGTTGTCATCTTATCAATGCTTCTGCGCCATATACCAGCACGGGCATGATGAGTGACTTATAGATACGGTGACCATATTAACCAACGTAAAATAAAGGAATTTTTTTCAAACTGATTTGGGAATACGTACATACAACTAGTATGATAAAAGTACCTTGCCCATATCGTAATTTAAATTAAATATTTACAAGTTACAGTACAAATCCTTTTCAAGGACTTCGCCATCCTTTGCTACCATTGCGGGCGTTTACCATTATTCATACTGCACGACGAAACCAACGCATAGTGGTTCAAAATTGGAACTCAATGTTCATAATCCCCCACAGCCTTTATTTTTCACTAATTTTTACTAAAAACAAAAAAAAAAAAATTTATGTTGGTGAAAATTTTTTTGATGACATTTTTAAAAATTTTTGTTGTGTATTTTTTTGTTTTGGGAGAACCATACTATTGTTTTCAACAAGTTTTTGTTATGTAACATTTCGAACCCTAACCGCCAACATAACTTAAGCGACCTTTTTTTCAAAATTTTCTTTTTGCTGCATTTTCTTCAAAATTGCTACTTTTTCTGCATTTTGCACTAAAAAATTTAATATAATCAAATTAAAATTCAGAAATCAGGCTAAACTGGTTTCATGCAAATGTTGTAAGCTTTTATAAAAAAAAAATAATTAAAATTAATCAAATTAAGTGCAAAATGGAGTGAATGAATGCCAGTTTTGAACCACCGTGCAGCAGGGAGTTTATTGTTCTCTTTCAGTGGAACTGGAAGCTCAGCGTGCAACACGATTCTGGGCACAACTTTTTCTATTCTTTATAGATTGTACAAAGATTATCGATTAAATAGAAACCCTCAAGTGGGGTGCGAAACAAACTGGCGAAAGTTCTCATTATATTTATAAGGGACATTTTTATTTTTCATATTCTGAGATTAAAAATTTACCTCTGAAACATGCAGAACTGGTTTAAAGGACAGTTTAAGAAATAAAAGACAAAAGGCGTCCTTTACTTTGGAAAAAAAAGTTATAAAGGACAGGGGGTTAAAATAAAGGACTGTCCTTTAAAATAAAGGACGGATGGTCACCGTACTTATAGAGTGTGGTTTTCGTACGTCGGGAGAGGGCTTTACTTCTAAGTGGCCCACTCAGTCCAAAGTAGCATTTGTTGGCAAGAGTGATTCAACGTTGGGTTTCAATGCTGTTATTATTATCGATGTTAATTATGGTTCCCAAGTTGCTATCTGTCCATGCTATAAAGCAGTCTTTGCCCCACTGAATTTCTTAAGGTCGTGTTATGGTCACGGTGGGATATTAACGGAGTTTTTAGGTTTTCCCGGGATGGCAGACTATGCAAAGCTGAATCCTGCTTTCACTATAACTTTCATGACCCTTCTCCTTTCCTCACGGGAAGAGTGGAAACGAGACGCTCTACGAGTGGCGAGTACATCCATGTAAACACAGATGGCTCAAAACTCGAGGAAAGATGGGGGAGAACAGCTTGGTAGCTTCTCTTTTAACTGTAATTTTCCCCTTTTCAGGCGCAACAGATGGCAATCAACAGGGCCACAAAACTCATTAAGCGTGCAATAATATCTTTAGGAGGTGGGGGTTGGAGAAATAACACAAACGGAAATAACGAAAAATTTGCTTTATTTCACTTTTAAACGGGAAATAATACCAAAATCTCAGTTTTAGCCACCAGTTCATAATTGCGAAGGGAAGGGAGGGGGACGCGGGCGCGGGCGCGAGCTCGACGTCGAAGCGGAGAGTTTAATGCGCCCATTTAACTTGTTCATGTACTAATTTTTGTCAAATGTAACTGGGTGCCTACCCACATAGGTATGTGCACTATTTTGCTTTATTACTCAATTGTTAAGTTTAAAAGTTGGTCTTATTGCTCAACGAGAAATGAAATAAAACAAATTTGTGTTATTTCACATTCTATTGGGAAATAACACAAATTTGCGTTATTGCCGTTTGTGTTATGACCAGGTAGATAATTTTTCGATAACTTGAATAGCTTTATATGTATGTAGGTGTGTAGTTATCTGTGCAAAAATTAGCTGAAATAATGAAAGGTTAGATGTACTACAATCTATTGAGCCTCTACATTTATTTCAAATAAGTATTTTTTTCTTAAATTGTTTTCTAAATTGACTGTAGCTTTGTTTACCTATGAATAACAAAACTTGCATTAATTTTTGTTTAGCGACGTATGTACGTATATTTCTACATCCCGGGCGATAAAACAAGCAAACAAAAGTTTATTTACGTTTTATTTTCACACTTTTGCGATAATTTTGTATTTCGTATTTCGTATTTTGTTTTTGGTTTTTTATTGTTTCTTTTTAATATTTAAATATTCCATCAACATTGGCTAGCTGACAGTTAACAATGGCTATAGCCAAATAAGTATTTAATTATATTTGTAGCTTAAAAGTATATATGCATAGGTGTGTGCGCAAATATGTACAAGTCGTGCTCTATTTTTCTTGGCATTTAAATATGAGTGTACGCGTATGTGCATTAGGGTGGTCCAAAAATGCATGTGGAAAAGTAAAGTTGAAAATTTTATACTCTCACCCCATAGGATTGGTCTATACCGAAAAAACCCTATATACCCCTATATTTTTATTTTGAAATCAAAAAACATTTAGAGGTCGCTCAAAGCTCATATATTTTATATGGAAAAAAAAACAACTTTTCGTAGAAATGGTATAGAATTCTTGAAAATCAATATTTGCGATCAAAAGCTTTGGTTCTCTTCAGGAGACTTCCAATAATAACACCCAATTGTTTATTTAAAATTTTTATATTTATAGTTTTTCGGCATAGAACAATTCGACTTTACATTTTTATTCGGGCCACCCTAATGTGCCGCGTAGTAATGCGCGTCTTGTTGTAGAGGTAATAAATTTTACGATCAATTAGCGAACAGTATTCAATGACATTGTCAATTGCTTGTAATAGACTCTGAGTTGAATTGAGTAAAATAGCAAGCAGCCGCACGGTACACCAGCATCCTTCATCTCTGCTATGGTTTTCACATACTATGTATACCGGCTGCTCTGCATCACATGTGCCCATACTTATTTAAGTATGAATGTAAGCCTTTTTCTGATTTGCTTCATCCACACTCCTCCTCCGCATTCGTTAGTATTTTTGCTTGGGTCGGATTAAATTTCATCCTCCATGTAGTTGCATTAATTGCTTTGGCAAGGCATCGAACGGTCAATTCGGTCGCTGCGTCAGTCTTTGGCGGTAAAAATCATAAACTTAATGATTTAATTAGTAGTTTTAATTTCATTTGCTAAAGTGGTTTATCCAAGCATGCATGTTGGTTTAGTTTTGCTTGTGTATGTACTTGTTGGTGGAAATAGCATATCTTATGAAGTCAAGCGTTCTATTTGTATGGTGCAATGTTTGATATCGTACTTGGGGCCGCAGGCTATTTGTGTAGCTCGTTGCAATACAGTATTGCTGTCCGATAGAAAATCTGTAAATATATAAAATTAAATCTAATATTAACTATGCACATTTCTCTGAAATTCAATTAGAGAAAATGTAAAATGTCGTAATCGCCAATAAATTAGTAGATATGTTTTGCTAAGAGGATATACTTAAAAATGTTTTGAATGGCGATGATATTGGTGATAAACATATTACAATATTTAGAGATTTGAAATGCAAAATACAAGCTATTGTGTATAACCGCCTTCGTCGTGTTATGAGAGAGGAAATTGTTTTAAAAATAATTAATTGTTGTTTCCTTGCTTTGGTAGGAATGCAAACGGTGTTAAAAGACTTATAGCATAGACAGACGTTGAAGTTAATTGCACGGCGGTATCGAATCCTGCGGCCAGCAACTTTTTTTAGTTTCTTCAACTATTACTTTTATTTGGTTTTTAAATTTAATTGCCTTGTTGTGTAAAATTAAATGAAAGTAAGTTGTTTTGTATGAAATTAATTTAAAATATACATAATAAAGTTAATGTTTAATCAACTTGAAATATCTATGTGAAGAAAATTTAAATCAAATAAAATGTAACAAAACACAATAACATACAGAGATTAGGGTGGTCCTTAAAGACATCCATGAAAATTTAAACATGAAAAAAATTCGTGGACGCTACCAGGGTTCGAATTTTTTTTTTATCTTTAACTTTTTACTTTCACAATTATCACGTTTATGCGTAGTCAAATTCATGAAATCATTTCCGGGATCTGAGTAAAAACTCAGTGCATAAACTCCATTTCACGTATAATTGAAATCATGAAACGGTGTTCATGCACTCAGTTTCTACTCAAATGCATGAAATGATTTTATGAATTGGCATGCCAGCATGAATTACAACAAACACATAATTTTGGCATAATGCAAGCCTTAAGCGTTGCTACTGTTGGTTCAGACCGATCCGCAATCAAGTTGGACGTTTTGCCCACAAATATTGCAAAATTGCGAGCAGTCTCATTGTAAAATCTAATTTTTTACAATTTCACATGCAGTTTCGGCTTACATTTATAAAATTCAACGAAAGCACGTACATATTTCGGCTGAGTTATCCATTTTTTATTATTTAGTGAACAAAATAAACGTAAAATAGAATGAATTTGTACAACATGGTCCTTAATGTAGCGACGAGTTGTACAACTTGCCAGAAAATAAAATTTTTTTGATGTTTCATACAATCGAGACACAAATTCATTCAACAGGCCCACAAACAGTGCTATCTAAAGAAAAACATTACCAAGTTGGAGCAACAGTGCCACGTTTACGGCATATAAATTATAGAAATTTGACAAATTTTAACCAAAGTTTCAAACTTTTTATTCAGATTTTTAGGAAAAGTTTTGGTATGCAGTTTTGTAGCCCATTCAATATTAGTATAATAAAGCGTACGTTTCAAGTGGCTGGAAAATACGGTGTATTTTTAACAATTTTTTTTCGTTGACGATGCTGGGCATTCTCTTCCTTATAAAAAATTTTCGAGCACACTTTGTATGAGAAAAAATGCGTGACACCGTTAGCAAAAAAAAATCTCAAAAATCAAATTATACCAAAAATTTATCTAAAAATTCTGAATAAAAAGTTTGAAAATTTGTCGAATTTTTATAATTTTTGTTCAAAGTTTTAAAAGGCGATTTATATGATGTTTGTTGTATAACTACGTAGGCTTTTATAAAAAATATTAAACATAAAATAAACAAAAGAAATATATTCAACAATTTTTATGAGTCAAAACTCTTCAAAGTAGGACTAGTCTATTATTTCTGCCGCCAGTGTACATACAAATGTATATACATACGTGCGTTCAGACATACATGTCTATGTACCTACATATGCATGTAGGTACTCGTATGTATGCGCGTTAAAGATGTTTGTGCTATCGCTTTGTATAGCCGTCATACGTCGCTTTCTTTCTTTTTCTCCTTTTCTATACTATATCTTCCTTCTTACTCATGTAACATTTTCAATTTTAAAAATTTCACTCCTCATTTTTCCGATACCGCCGCTAAGTAGTTTCACTAAAAAAAAAAAAAAATTATGGATGGCTGCCAGATTTTGAAAAAATTAGTAATTTTTACATAGAAAAATTTGTATTTCGACCTGTTTTAACTCAGAGAGTGTATAAATTTACATGAATTGGTTTTAATAATATGTCAAATTTTTCATATTGTGAAAGAAACTACTAGAATGACATTTAGTTGCAAGCATACCTTTTGTTCTCGGTCTCTGTTAAAAAGTAAAATATTTAATTCTAATTTTAATAAATTTTTAGAAATGTGTTTTCTTTTATTTTATTTAACACATTTACATTACATTATATTGTTTTAAAAAGAAAAATCCTTTATTTAATTTCATACATTTTTTAGGAACATAAATGCTTTAATTTTTAATTAAATTTAATTTTATTTTAACTTTTAGATTTTGTTTTAAACAAAAAGATTTTTTTTTTTGTAATTTTATTAACATAATTTTTGTAACTTATTTCCTTTTTTATTTAATGTTTTTCCTTTTTAATTTAGTTTTCTGACTTCATTGTTTTAAAAAGAAGGATTTTTAAGTTTAATTTTCTTTTAGTTTTTCAGTTATTTTTCGAAAAAGGATTTTTTATTTATTATTTTTGGTATATATTCTTGCTATTTTAAATTTTTTCCTTTATTTTTGATAAATTTTCTTTAGTTTTTAGTACTTGCTGTCTAAAAGAATATATATATATATATCTATAAACTTTTGTAATTTCGTTTAAATTAAAAAAAAAACTTATTGCTAAAAGACAAACTGAATAACGTTACGACTTTCTCGTGAGCACATCGTTTAATTATTCTTCCGAAAGTAAATAAAGAGCTTTCAAGATAGCTGCCAGAATTGACAATTGTCTTACGAAAGGCTTTTGTCTTTCGAAAGACTGTGGTGAGTTGAAGGACATGTATTAGAAAATACATTGCAATCTTCTTTTTCTATGAATTTTCATTTCTTTCGCTGTAAGGGACTACACGCATATGTATGTATCTTGTAAAGCAAATATATTCTTGCATGTATTGAGGCAAAACAAATCAACACATAATTATTTGCCTGGGAGAATCGAACCCGCATGATGAATTTCAAATTTAATAATTTTAATAATTTTGTAACCAAGTCGATAAGCTTAACCACAAAAATTCTATAACGTATGCACACATACTATGTACGTATGTACCTACATATACACATATGTGAATGAATTCAATAATTAGTTACATACCAATGACCAAGTGCGCCATCATGACACTGTGGTTGTTTTTGTGACTCCACACATTTAGATGATGTACATTTCTGTGGAAATAGAAACGTTAAATAATCTAAATGTACATACATACAGACATGGTATTATGTAATAACAGAGTGGTCCCTAAAATATCAATATCACGAAAATTAAAAAAAAAAATAAAATTAAAAGTCGCTACCGGGGTTTAAAAAAATTTATTTATTTTATTTAACGCAAAAATTGGACAAAACGCTGACTTTGGTCAGCGTGGGTATGAATTTATATAAAAAAGTTCCAATAATATGTAAATTTTATCAGATTTCAAGTCAAAAATTTTTTAATTTAATAAAAAAATATTCTTTTTGCAGAATTTGTTACCTTGTTAAATATATTTATGTGTTTAAAATTTTGAAATTTTCTTAGATATATATATACAAAATTAAAATGTTGATACATATATTAAGAACCACCCTAATATGGATACATGTACTTATATTGATCGCAAATTTAGAAGTAAAGAGCTAATTAAAGTCAAAAATGCACTCACTTAACACCATCAATACTGATTAAATCCATCTCCAGTTTATTTAATGATATCGACGAGGGCACAGCATCCAACAAAATTCCAACCGATTCGCGGAATAAACGCACAGTGGTCATGAATACGATTACGGAGAACAAAACTGTACAAAGAGGATCGGCAAACTTAGCGCTCGGCTGTGGGGAAACAAAGATAATGAGTGCATTAAATCAACATGGAAAGTCCAGATTTTATTTTTTTTAATTTTAAATCATATAAAAGTATTTATGTACTCACATAAATTTGTATTAATATCGATGCAAGAAAAACGCCAACACTTTGCACCAAATCGCCAATGACGTGAATCATAGCAGCGCGCAGATTAAGATTTTCTGCGGTATCACTGTGGGTGCGAAAATGTGCGAAATGAAAAAATTTGTAAAATAAAAAAATTAAAAATTCAAAGAGGTGAAAATATGCAAACAAAAAATAATTAATGGTAAATAGGCGCGCTTAAATGTATATGAAAATGGAAAAACTATAAAAATCGTGTACAAAAATAATTGAAACAATAATTAAAAGAGGAAAAATCCCATACGAATCAAGTTGGTAAATCGCTAGAGGCAAATTGAAATGTGTTGCTTATTGACATAAAGCGTATGTCAAGTGAAAAAAAATGAATTGAGTTTTTACGAAAAATGACAAATGAAAATTATCATTTATGCATGTGCAACAATAACAAAAAAAAAACAACGATAACAACAAACGCAGGAATACCAAATAAAAAAACAAAATCCATCAATGCAACAACAGAGAAAAAGTGTAGCGCATTGAAAATGCATAAAAAGTGCTGGCGAAATCAATTTTAAGCACTTTTGCAAACGAAAATATGCACAAGTCAATATTGAATTATGCACGCGAATCCGCATGAATTAACTTCATTTACATGAACGCGCACGCACACAAATGCGTGGAAGTATTCATTTGAATTTACCAGAAAGTAGGAAAAAAGAAATGTAATATTCAATGGTAAAGAATTAACATGACAATACATACATACCCTGCCAAAAATGCGACTAATCCAGGATGACTCCGGGATCAATGGAACTTGTTACAAATACCAATTCTGAGCTTTTTTATTCGGCATGAATTGTTGCTTTTTGTTCGAGCATGCAGGGACTAATTCTTCCCCTTTATAGCCAAAAGTGCACAAACCTTAGGCAGTCGCTTTTAAAATATAAAAATAAAAATTTGCGCCAGCTCAGATTTGAACTGAAGATCTCAGGATTGCTAAGTGAATAGTCAAGCCAACGCCGCATATGAAATTTCCGTGACAAAGTGCGTATGTTATTAAATCTTTAATTGTAACGCTTAGAGACGATTTGTGACCTAATTGCACCTGTAAGTGAAGAGTTCCCATAAAACACTTGTTGTGAGTAATTGGTGCCCAATTGTACCCCATGCCTCGAGCCTAAATCCGGATTACTCTTTTTAGACATCAGTTCGAAAATTTTTTTTGCGGGGTATGCCCTTCATATGCATGTAAGATAACACATCTACATATACATAAGTACATATATAGACAAATAGTTTATGAAATTCTTAAAATTTTGTAAATCCATGAAAACTCTAGTGCCTACAAGAATTTAAGATGTATATGTCCGTCAAGTTTGTAAGCCTTTCAGAAACGCATTCGAATGCACTAAAGCTGCTGAAAAGACCTCATGGATCCTTCAGGAACAACTGAAGCCTGCTTGCCTACCATTAAACACAGCCTAAACAATCCGCATGATGACAAAAAATAAAATGACTCTGGCTGCGTCAGCACCTGGAGCAGGCGAACACTCCCTACGCGATCTTCAAAATGTGCCTTCACATCTGCAGCCCTTTTAAATTGGGCTATGTTGAGATCCGACGCGTCCCCAATGGGACCAACCAATACCAGCTGGATTGTAAGTACCCTGACAATCAGAACCCATACATCCACTATAGGACAGGTAAGAGTCAGATTCTCAGATACGAAAGGATGTCTGTCTACAGGCTTGAGTAATCTTATATGGTCTATCGTAGTTGACCAACTACTCTGAACAAAGACTGCAAATGGTGTAGTAAAAATGGGTTAAACATGGGCACTAAAAATACTATAATATATACTTGCTATTTTTCCAGAAAATGAGAACGAACAAGTTGCTAGAGCCATTTCTTCAAAGGGAGAAAAACTACCCTTCCCTAAAATCTAAAATCTCAAATATCCTTGATGATGAGCTCTCAGGGAACACTTCACATATAAACTATTAAAAGGGTTAGGCTTTCCATTCAGATCTGCTGGATACTAGTGGGCTACGAACTGGGTTGTCAGACTATATGCAAAAGAAGGGAGAGGCTCTTTAACTACCATAAACAGGAGGACGCAGATCCAAACTACAGAAACTAAGAGAAAGAAAATAAATAATACATCATAAGCTACCATATCGGAAAGACCAACAACCGAAATGTTTACGAAAATCAAGAATTTTTTAAATTTAGTAATGCCTTCCACAAACTTGTGTGGCATGAATGAAAATAGTGAGATACTGCTACTTGCCGACGAACTTTAACGGGCTAAGGAATTGACATTTTTCGCAGACCGATTTTTATAGAATAATTTTGTTCCGTTGATGATGTACAAGTGAAAAGTTTCAATACAATCGCGCATAGCCATTTCTTTAAACGCATTTTAAATAAGAATACTATAGCGATCCTAGTCAATTAATGGCTAGTTGTTTATTTTTATTATTATTTCAATTTTTGACTCACCATTTTTTTGCGTATTTCAATTCGTAGGAACCATTCATTTGCAACAAAGCACCGTCGTTCGCCACTGCACGACTATGTGGATGCGAGTGTGCATGTGCATGTGCATGTGCATGTGCATGACTATGGCCGTGAGCAGCGCCGTGTGCCAACGTGGAGCCATGTAGAACAAAAACCATGCTGAAATAAAAACAAAAACCAAAGTTCTGCATATAAAAAGTGTACTTTTGTAGGAGACAAAAAGAATTTTGTATTGGTATAAAACATACCGAGGCAATAATTTATAAATACGAGAATTGAATAAATAAACAGTATTTATAGCGAGTCGGCGATAAAGATTTAATAAAATGCGCTGCTATATTTGAGTTAATTATGCAAAGTTTTAGCATGCGCAGCGTGGTTATTGTTAAATGTTTTTTTTTTGTTATTGCTTTTCTGACGTCCGCCTTGTATTAGGTATTGATATGCCATTACTTACATACATATTTATATATATTTTCTTGAACTTGTGTTTATCACAATTCAATTGTGCATATTTATGTTTATTTGTACTTACACGATATTAATTAAAATTCCAATGCCCGATATAACCATCATTGTGTTGGCATTCAAATCAAAGTCATTGGAGTATAATCGTTCCATGGCCACAATAATTAGTGTTGCGGTTAGTATCCAAATACCTAATATTGATGCTAGAGCACCCATCACCTCTAGGAAGTAAAAATTCATATATTAATATGTAAACAGGTACGCTATTAAGACAATGGTGTAATTTATGTAGAAGCAGAATTATAATAGAGCTTATTTATTACAGGAAAAAATAAAACGAAATGGGATTTAGAATGTAAATTTTTCACTCAACCAGTAGTGGGACATACTACTCGAATAGCGGTACATGAAATGCTCAAGTGCATTAAAAATTGGTGCAGCGGTGCCAACCCTGTACATAGCAAACAACGTCCCGGAGATCTAACAAAAGCTCACAAGAGGACATACTAAGCTGGCAATCGCACTCTCTATTTTTTCGGTTAGACCACCCGAGGCTACTTTTCTTGGCCAGCTGATGCGCACTCAGTTTACCTGAGATATCATGGCGCCCTGGAATGAAGTATTCAGATGCGACTCAAAGAGGGACATGGTACTATTAGTATATAGTAAACCCATAAACCCTTTTAAGTCGCTTGGTTATTAGCTATCTCCAAATGAGTTACAAGTTTAGATTCTAAACAACGATCTTGTTACTAATATCTGACTGGATGCACCCGCGAGAGCCTTGACTTATAATGCCGGAAAATATTTATGGCTAGCGATCCAAGCGGATCCTGACAGAGGTCCCGACCGGACGCTGTCCTATGTGCACACATTGCCGCAGTTTGTTTGTTTTCAACGGCCCAGTAACTTGAGGTTAAAATTTAAACTTTCATCTCGTTTGGTCCACCACTGAGGAGATACTGTAGGGCGTCACATCAGCAATCAGTTTTTTTAGTTAGCATCAAATTATGCTAACACTTTATTACAATTAATGAACGAAAGTCATTGCAAATCCAGATTTTAAACATTAACACCCAAATTCACAAAAAATAAAGAAGACTTTAAATGTCTCTAAAAACAAAAATTTATATGAAAGTTTCACTTTATAAAGCTTTTTAATATTAACTTACAGAAATTAACTGATTCAATTAACCTTTTAATTGAGCTACCGCTTTTGTGTGTTCAGTGATGGAAAAGTTGGTACAATCGTGCCTCTACTTAGTAAGAAAGTATATATGTACCCTATATGGATTTAGAACGCAGTCAAATGACTTTTCACAAAATCAGTTTTTATTTTTATTCACTTCTCCAATAGCCTCCATCCTTTGTAAAGGGGCACACAATGATACCAAAGGTTGGTCAAAGTAACATAATTGCAGTTGATTACGCCAGATAGACAGCGAATATTTCCTTTAAAACGTGAGATCGAAGAACTCGGAGAAAAGTGAAGCCCCTTAAAAAAAAAAAAAACACAAAATTGTATTGTCCCGAACTGTCCGAAGAGATTCTTTGCATAGCCAATTTTTTTTAATGTGAGCGCAGAAGATGATATGGTATCAATATGAAAGGTTATCCTCTTATTTTCTTTAATATGTACACATATATAGATACATATCGCACCCTAAATCAAAAAAAGCCACAACTAAAAAAATTCAAAATGTTCACGAGAAGCAAACCACTGTTGATGAGGCGCAAGTGAATCAAGCAAAAAAAAAAGTTTTAATGGTATGTTTTCAGTTAAAGAAGATGGTGATGAAGAAAAAATTTGGCAGACGTTAGACATATGGTCTGTGAACAATTTTATAGAAAAAAGTAATATTGGGCAATTTTGAGCTCTGGCGGTTTTTAGGGTGCGACATATCTACTTTTAAGTAAAGTTTTTCCGTAAATTAGGTCAAACTGAAATTTAAATTTTCCATCCCTTATGGAATATCAGCTGTAAAACAGGACCACAAGCAACAGTTAAGCACTACTCGAGCAATTAGGAATTGAAATTTCGTATGGTAAATTGAGCTCGATTAGCGCCTTAATCGAGAAAACTTCGTTAACTGTTCGATTAACAGCTTAGTGCCCTGTCTGAACTTATTTTAAGTCTACTTTATTTTTTGCTATGCTATACATTTCTATTGGCTATCAAGTATTTGAAATTTGCATAAATTAATGTCCAATACAAATGACCAACAATTTACGTACAGTTTTAAGTTATCAAAATCAATAAAACAAATTACTAGATAATTACGCTTAGTTGTAACCATAAATTTAGGCGAAGTTAAATGTTACCATTTTTGAGTTACCAAAAGCGATCTAAACGTTATGGCCAGATTAATGCTTATTTTTTAAATAAAAAAAAATAAAATTATGTCCAATTTTTAAACGACGAAAAATTTCCACTGCCAAGATTACCGAAACATCAGCTTTTATTTTACCAAAAATGTATGACCAATTTTAAACTGATCAGCATTTAAGCCAAAAGAAAATTTTTTCAGGTTTTTAGTCACCAAATTATTATGTTAGATTTAGAAGTACATATGTTCATTGTATAATGACTAAACAATTTTTCATTGCCATTTTTGAATTACTAAAAGTGATACAAAAATTAAAGCCAGAATAATATATATTTTTTTATTAGGAAAAGAAAAGATTTGTTTCCAGGTTTTGAATCACAAAATTATTACGTTAAATTTTTGCATTAAAAACCAATATATATATATGTATGAACATATGTTCATTGTGTAATGATTAAAAATATTTCATGGTATTAAAATTACCAGATAATTATGTACATATGCAAAGTTTTTAAGTAAACATATAAGTATATAAGTTTTATTTTGAAGCGCTTAAATGTTATAATTTTTAAAATAAACAGCTCGTTTGGTTAGTAAAAAGCACCTTTGAATTACCCAAAAACAATCTGGTTTCCTTCCACACCGAATACTTACCCATACGTTTATAGCCAAAGGACATGCGACCATCAGGCGGTCGTCCGCCCAGCCAAATTGCCACCAAACCAATCACAAAACTAATGCAATCGGACGCCAAGTGGGCTGCATCTGTCATGATAGCCAAACTTCCGGCCATATAACCGCCAAGGAATTCAACAATCTGCACAAATACAATAGATAGTAATTGAAATAGAAATTTATCGCCTGTAGAAGTTAAGCGAGCGGGTTTGCTATAGCGTAAACGTGTTGAACGGCGCTACACTGGGGCAACTACATACATACATATTAACATACATAGCTGATGTACGCGCGTGGCTACCTTCACACACGTTCGCGGTCTGTGATTAATTAAGTGCCAAATAGAAGAGACTGGTCGACCGAATGGCAGCGGGCGTGCATGGCGTATGAGTGACATGGCAAACACGCACCAACGTAGGTTACGCATACGCCATGCACGACGCATGCAGCCTGCATACAATTGCCAATAACAATTTAACACCGTATGTATGTATGTACATATGTATGTATATGAGTGAGCGACACGTGCCGCCGAACCGCAACACTCGCACGGTTCGTTCGCTTTGTTACACAGTTTTATTTCATATGCATTAAAAAAAAAAAAAAACAATTTCTGCGATTGATTTACTCACCATGAAAACACAACATAGCGCAATTGCTAATAAAATTTTTAATTTTGCATCTTGTGTGGATTTTGGACGCAGATTTGCACTAAATCCCGGCAATTGGCAATGGCAAGTGGAGGCGGCGTCGTCAGCAGCCGTGGCAGTGGCACCGGAAGCTGCGCTAAATTGATGGTTGCCATGGTCATGGTAATCACTCTGTGGGTGTGAGAATAACAAATACGAATGGGGTGAGAAATGGTTATTAAAACACAAAAAAAAAATACAATAAATTCATTGTTTACATTTATAAATATACTAGATACGGTTTGAAATGCTTGTGCGAATTTGCGCGAATGAATGGCTGTGCGATAAATAAATAAATAAATAAATAAATAATATTTGCATATTTTTGGTCGGCTTTTGCAATAAATGCATTTTTGCTTGTTTATGTATGCATATTTGTGTGCATGTGTGAAATGTTTAAATTTTGTGCGCTAAAATGTTTATACGTACATACATACATATGTATGTATGTATATGCTACTCTATTATTAATGCGCGCAATTTTTGATTTGCTACCGAAATATTTGCTTTTGTTCGTCGGAATTTCCAATGCAACTCCAATTTATGTATTTCGAAAGAATTTGGCAGATATTCGCAAATTGTTGTTCTAATATTTTTTGCATGTATGCACATGTGTCTAAATGCTATTGTTTTTTTTTTGTTTGTTTGTTTGTTTTCTACCGCGGAATTTGTTGCGCATAATTCATGCGAGGCACTCACACACGCACACACACACAGACCTCCTCCCACATGTGCAATGGAGTGCATTGCTTTGAAAAGTAAAGGCCACCAAATTCATGTTTGACCGAGTCACACAAAAAGCGCTTGTGGCAAGCAATTTCAATTTAGGCAATGGGATTTAGGCAATGAATAAATGTGAAAACGCGCGAATGCCGCGGCTAAAATGCTTCAGAAAATTCGTTAAAAAAAATTAACTTGCACCATTAACTTTGGCAAATATACGTACATATGTATGTATGTGTATGCGCGTTGGTATTTTTCGTGCAATGTTTATTATTCATAAAACGAGTAAATATTTAAATATGAACTTTTGCAGCGTTTGCATATGTATATGTAAGCGTGTGTGTACATGTGTTGTGTTGTTTGAATATAAACTGTTTGTAGCTTTCTGATTTATTGAAATATCATATCATAGCTTTTCCTAAAACTGTTTTTCCTTTTTTTTCTTGTTTAAGCTTCATTGGCGTATTTATTTACTCGCATTGTTTTTATCTGACCCTTAATCTTCTATAATTGTTTTTGAATTTTTGATGGACTGTCGAAAAAGCGAAGCATTAGAGAAACGATGATTGCTGTTAATAAAAAAAAATTACTGAAACTTTGTTAAACAATTGCTTTCAGGGATGGCTTTTAATTTTTTAAAATTTAACAAATTGTAAACTGTAATTTTTTCCCCAGCTGATAATTTACTACAATACTACACCACCACGGCCACTAATTACAGAGTTTTGAGAGAAAAATCACGTAACTTCCGAAAACTGAAAATCTTGTTGGCGTCAGTTAGTTTTCCGTAAATCACGTAATTTTCACATATTGACCCCTAACCGCCAAAAAGATGTTAGCGACATTTTTTTTGCATAATTTTCTTTTTGATGCAGATACGTTCCTCGAGCATCTAGATGCATTTCTGCACCAAAATTCAAATTTTGAAAAAAATGTCACTTGCATCTTTTTGGCGGTTAGGGGTCGATATGTATGTACATATGTACATATGTATGCGTATTTTCAATCAAAATAAAATCGTAAACTACTAGTGTTTAACTCTTTTGCTGTATTAACCTTTGACGAATTCAAATGTGCAATAGTAGGGGAGCCCATTGGATTTGGGGTCCTATTGGATTTTGAAGATTGGATGATAACATAAAGTAAAAAATGGTCATGTGTTGTATATCCTTTCAGCGGTGGGTGAAGGATCTAAAGGCTTCAAAAAATTTAAGAAAAACCCGTCACATGGATTTACTCGAGTGCGTCGGATATTGATGCTCAATAAGTCAAACGTGTTGGAGGTATGCTAATCTGCCGGTGGCATGGTGGGCGCATGGAAGGTTTAAAAATCTGTGGAAAAAATATCTACTCCAGCGCGTTGTGGAAATTTTTTAATTTTTTTAATTTTTCACAGTTAGAAATTTGTATTCACATTTTTTCTTGGGGTATACAACAGGTACACATAGTATAGGCACTTATTTAGCTCAGTTTTAGATAAAGTATTTGATTCGAAAGTGCACGCAAATTTTATGCGACTGGCAAGAGTAACGAAAACTAGCTTCTGTATTGAAGTTTTGACAAATTAAGTAAATGTTACGACGCTTTTTTTTGCATGTAAAGTATATTTAGCGTCCGAACGCTTGAAATAAAAACACAATTTGTAATTTAACTTTTGGTCGTTCTTATAATATTTTTACGTAGTTTTTGTTGTAGGGCTTACAGAACATAAGTTGTACTAAATTTTTGTATAGATTTTCAATTCTTTTTAATCGTGTGCCATAATTATGAAGGATTTCTGGAAACTATGATTTCTCCGGAATAAAGAAAAATTTAAAATGTAATTGGAAAGCCGCAAATATCTTGAAATGGAATAGGCTAATTAGTCCAATATTTTGGTGGATGAAGGAAAAAATATGTAGTTCTCGTCTGGCATCTATAAACTTTGTCCAGCCAAAATTCTACTTTTTTTTGGTTTTGGTTGTCACTTTTCAGGAAATACCCATATACACTAACTAAAAAAACTACTGTTATACATGTTTTGGTATTAATTGCGTTGAATCTGTACGATCTACAAGCAGTTATATTTCCCGATCTGAATTTTGGGTTAGCTCACTTTAGATCTAGATAGGTGTGCGAAATGTTGTACATATACAGCGGAGCAACACACGAGCCTCTAGTGAGAGTTTTTCTGGGATAATTGTCGCATTTCACTAGCATCCGGTAGAATTTAGGAGCATTTGGTCAAGCAACAAAAAGGAAAAGCAAAAGGAAAACAGCAAGCAAAAAACTTTAGAAGTTTAAAAAAAGATAGCAGTTGCACGCGCTAAAATTTGTTGCCGATTATCGCTACGCTGGCTTATGGAAATCGTCAGATTATATACTTCCGGTTGTCCTTGCGCTGTTTGCTTCATAAGAAAAAAATTTTACAGCGCTCGAGAATGTCAAGGTAACATTTTTTTTTGCTTGTTTGCGACCCTCCCTCCCTCGTCGTCTAATCGTTAGATTATTGAAATGCACACTTTTAAGCATTTAATTAACCCACCATTCCTTAATCTGACGCGCTCGAGTAAATCCCAAAATTCCCTCTTGGGCTCCCCTACTACAGCAGATGAAACTGCAGAAACAGTTTTTGAAGGCATTAATGAGGAAATACAGATTTATGTGGAAATAGCAGAAAAAAAAGTTTTGACAATGTTTTAAGATTTTGAGAGTGAGCTAAATAAATAAATATTTTCCACTACTCGGAAGCATTTCAAGGCAAATTTTAAACATACCAGCTAGCTCAGCAAATATTGAAAAAGTTTTTTCTGTCTCAAGCAGAATCCTAGAAGAAAGACATAGTCGATTACTTGGTGAAAACCTCTACAAAAAAGTATTTTTAAGAAAAAATATGGCCTAATGTAATTTTAAAATTATATAGAATGAATTGAATGCATGAGTGTGCGTGATTAAAAAACTAGGCGTAATGAGCGTGTCGTGAACATGTTTGAAAATAATATAGCAGAAGGTGAAGGAGAGGGTGAGTGATTAACAAAAACCATCAACGTGAGCGTGCGTGAACGTGAGCCAAAATCATTCCCGCGTCCATCACTAATTGAAAAGTTGTTTGATGGAATGTCTTAAATTTTATGAGGCATAAAGTAAATTAGTGCGTTGTGTGCAGACAATACTAATTACAATTTTGGAGGCGCTAAACTTAGGGGTGAAAACAATGTTTTTTTTTTAATGCAGAAAACCAGTGGGAATAATAATACTATTTGACGCACTTAAAGAATATTTCTTAACACGAGTCAGGTACAGGTGTCCAACTGTATGAAATCGTTTTTTTTTTTGAGAATCCTTTGTCTGAATTTTGGCTAAGTTTTGTTTTCTGCGAAGCACAGAACTTTCACAAATATATCCTCAAAACTGAATCTGAAGATAATTCTCTGGTGAAGCAGCAGTGAGTTTGTTTAATTTAAAAATAAATTAAATGGAATCAAAATAAAATGGATTTCGATCATCCTGCGTGAAAAGTAGCTTTTAAAATTGGAAAGTCCAAAAGTAGATGTAAGAGTTTTTCCAAAAACACTTTTCAGTTTTTATGCAGCATGTATTACATATCGCCGTACTGAGTTCAAAAATGCCCTATTCCAACTGAAAATATGTATATTAAAAATATGTTTAGAATCGGCAGCTGAGATGGGGCATTTTTGAACCGAATTCTGAAATAGGGTGTTCTTGAAAAGTTTTCTGAGATAGGGCATTTTCGAACTGGCTCCCGAGATAGGTCGATCTTCCAGTCAGTTGTCGATATTTAAATCGGTGGGGTACATATTTTGAACCAATAAGAATTTTCGAATGGGTTGTACTGAGGCAACCTCCGCGGTGGACACAGGTGGAAGCTTGTATTTTGATTATTAAAGACAAAAGAAGTTGTATGTTTAAAAAGTCCATAACTCGTGAAAAAATCGGAACTTGTCGAGACCAGAAGCTATTAGATATTCAAAAACGGTCTGAAATGTTTGTTCGTTTTCAAAACCATAATTTTAATGATGCAAATATATTAAAAATAGTAGAATGTACTTTATGTCTTCTTGGTTCGAACGCACCAACTGCACGAATTTTCTCAATAATCAATAATTTTTGGTCAGTCAGAAAGCTCAACTCAAAATTGAGACCATTAAAGCATCTGTGCTTACTAAATGTATCTTAGGGTTAAGATGCTCAGAATCCTACGACTTTTGAAAACTCAATGCTTTATTTAAAAAATAAGTACAAAAGCAAAATTATGTACCTTGAAATTTTTAATTTTTTTTAACTAAGAATTTTTTGTACATATATCCTTATGATATGTGTATATCTTTATTGAATTTAATAAAATGCGAAAAATACAGAAGAAAGTTTGTACTTTATTTTTACTTCAAAAATATGGTCACCGTACCCAT